TTACATTCATACGGCCTTCAAATTCACACACGTTTTTTACATTCATACGGCCTTCAAATTCACACACGTTTTTTACATTCATACGGCCTTCAAATTCACACACGTTTTTTACATTCATAAGACCGTTAAATTCACACACGTTTTTTACATTCATATGACCTTTAAATTCACACACGTTTTTTACATTCATAAGACCGTTAAATTCACACACGTTTTTGACGTTCATATGTCCGTTACTCTCACACATTTTTTGACGTTGGTATGGACGTTAAGTCAACACTTTTTATTGACGTTGGTAGGGTTGTTAAGCTCTCACGATTTTTTTCCTCCCCAGAAAAAACTGTCCTTCAACTCGCGGGGGTGGTTGGTGGTTCAGTGGTTCCAACTGTGGCTACACAAATCTGAATGGACAAGCCAGACAGGCCAACTACCTGGGGATGTACTGGTATCCGATAAGAAACAGTCACTACCTGACAGAGACTGAGATGGCATTCAGAGCTGCCTAACTCTTTCAGCACGCAAAGGATTCCACAATGTTACGCACCAAAGTACGAAGGGTGTTACCTTAAAACAGCTATAATTCAGTCAAATATTGATGGATTTGTTTGTGTGTGTTTTCAAACTTTACGTAATTAGACAGAGAAGCCCAATATGGGTGAAAATAGGTAGTAGATGTAACACCGGACCAGGTGCAGATCTAGGGTTTACGAAATCGGTACCCCCAAATGGTCACTTAAGTGGTGTTCCGGAACCAAAGAGCTATGGCTCTACCTAGGCCTTCTTGGGTAATCCGAGAGAGGCTGGCTAGTCCTCCTACAGGCCATACTCTTGTTTCTTTTAGTACAGGTTTTACGGCGCTCGCAACTGCATGGTCATATGAGCGCCAGAAGATTAGAGGTGTTACAAGAGAGTAACAAACACAAACAAAGAAGAAGGGGAGATAAGGACGACAGATATTTGATAGGAAAGAAGAAACAAACCACACCAGAGCACCCGCCAACCACCCACGGCCATACTCTAGCCAGGGGAGGATACTCTACATTTTAACACTGCCACCAATTGGAAGCGGCCTCTATGTGGCTGTGCCACGTACTCTTATTAATTGATAGGATCTGGATAGGATCTGGATAGGACACAATACTTCCAAAAAACTAGTCTCTTTGTGCGAGGAGAGGGGAGAAAAGGGGTATGTACACCCCCCTCCCCCGCCGGACAGTTGGGGTTTGGGGGGGGAGCTGGAATTGGGAACAAAAGCTCAGGGAAAAACACTAATAAATCAAATATATATTTACCAATAGGTTATTTCACGGTTGTTATTCATATTGTTGTCTATTGTTCCATTTCCATGTTGAAATATCATTGTACCTTCTCTCTCAGTCTTATTCTACTAGTAAATGATAGACTGATATAATATAGCACACGAAAAAAAAGGACACGAGATTTTAAAAATGCCTTCTTGCTCTGATCCTTTGTGTTTGGTTGTTCTTGATAATGTTAACGACCCC